TTGACGCCAATCTCATAGCTCGCTCAATCTCTCCCGTCCCATCTAATTATGCTGTTTACACGCGGTCCAGACCCACTTCCACCGGTTCCAGTGTTTTGGATTTTCAGTCGTTTTCTCCTCTTCCTACGACCCGACTGGACGCTGCTGTCGTCAATACGAGCTTGATCAACCAAATTGCTAGCGATCTTGATGTAGGCGAGCGTTGCCTATCTAACCAAAAATCATCTCCTTTGGACGACAAAGCGAGCTTGACTTCGAAGCAAACCACTAGATCGAAGGCTGTCAGACGTTCTGACGTTGTCGAACCGATTACCGAGGGAGGACAAGAACGACGGGATGGTGTCCCCGATATTCAGGAGCAAGTGGAGAAGAAGGGCAGAAAGTTTCTCCCAAAATTCTTTCGACGGGCTCTTTCCAGCAGTGGGGCATTGAACGCTCAGATCCTCGATCGCAATACCGTCCCCACCAAGCTTGAACCCTGTCCATTAGCCCCTTCCGGCCGCGCCAACACTACTCCCGCTTTCGTGCATTCTTCTGTCAGCAAAGGGAAGGGAAAGGCGCACTCAGTATTCCGGTTCAGGCAAAAAGGAGATTTATCTCCTTCCAAACCTGTACACACCCCTCCTCCATTCGTGTTGGCTGATGACACTGCACAAAGAGCAGAAAGACGTCGTCAGGTTCGACGCAGTGGTTCATTCGCCGGATTCTCTACCGTGACATTGGCTCCTGCATCCCCGCTTATTTTCCAGCGGGAGGGACTCTTCAGCAATACTTATACCCATCCCATTCATGCTGTGGTTGACGGCGATGAGGACGAGCTGGATCCTCTCACTCTTGAGGCAACGACACTTTCTGCTCATATCGGACAGGTTTGGGCTTATGCGGAAGATGAAATTTGATTCTCCGTTTTCTTTGGTTCCCTTCTAATATGTTCACCATATATGCTTTTAACATGTTCATTGACATTCTCATCTATGTTCATCTATGTTCATTCAGCCGCTCTGAGCCTTCTCGTCTCAATAATCGTGTAGTCTTGTACGTATCTGATATCTGATAGTCAAGTAAGTAAATTGTAGCGTAACTGTATGCAAATATTCGTTCAAAATTTGTTCGTCGAGAATTTTACCAAAGTGATATGAAATTACGGCAGCCTCAAATTATCAATGATCACAATTTCCAAGTGCCCTTCTTCTTAGCTTGCATCGATCTCGCGATGATGATTAAACCAGATCCAAATAGCTGAACTACCGCACTAAACACCACTGGCCGTACCCAGAAATACTGTGGCGAGTGCAGAAGTGCACCAGAGATAGGGCTTCCCGTGAGCATCGCGAAACTTGAAATGAATGTGACAAAGCCCATTCGAGTGCTTGAGTTATATGTGAGAACGAAGATCGCCATCTTGTAGAAAACCGATAGGGGCTTACCCAACTTCATTTATGTTCCTTGCGAAAGTTGCTGCTACTGGTCCGATCAAAGAAACGACTGTGCACGGGATTAGCGCCACGAGTAAGATACAGGATCTCGAGACATACATCCTCCTGAGGTGAAGCCGTAGAGGATGGCGAACACAACGGTCGCAGCAACTGATTTAGAAGCGAGAAGCATGAAGACTAAGGCTCCGGTGATGACGCCCGTAGCAATAGTCACTTTGACATGGGAGTAATAAGCTCAACTATCTGCAGATAAGAGACACAGGACCCACCATTGAAAGGACCTAGTACATCCGCCAAAAAATTCGGGAACGTTCTTCCAAGTACACCAGTAATGTTGAGGATTGTGATCTAAATGATATTAGGAGATATGAATTATGCGTTGACATCTCGGTAACACATGCTCACTCCATAAGTCACAATGTTGGCCGGGAGATCATGCTTTGAACAAAACAGTTGAAGATAGAAGTCTAAAATAAGATTTCAATGGACAGGGACACGTTGCCTGAGTTCAGCACTTACACGGCACGAACAAGCCCCAGAACACAAAGAATGACCTGACAAAAGGAACATCAATCAAACCAACGAAAAGGCAGCGAACACGTTCGGTAAAAACATACCCGGCAGTGCATATTAAGTATGGAACATCTGTCAGGACACCCTTCAAATCAATATCCTTCTTGCCACCTGCTGGCAGACGCGTCTTCATGATCGAGTTTGAGATAATCAGCAGCCCCAGATAAAGGAAAGATTGCGCGCGAACTGCCCACGCAAAGCCCACACTCGCGAATAAATGATTAAGCATGATTGGATAGATAGCAGCGCCCAAAGAACCACCTTTTGGGTAGATGTCAGTTAAAATGAGACGACATAACGGACGAGAGTTACCGGATAGGATAATTCCCATAGCAAGTGCACGTTTTCGTCGGAAATAATGAGATGCAATGGAAAGCGACGGCATGAACAGCATGCCCATTCCGATACCCATGCCCAGTCCTTGCGCAAGAAAGTTCTGGTAGTAATTGTGTGGCTTTGCGAGTGAAAGCATGAACGATCTAAGTCACAGCGCAGTGAGTCAGGCTTACAGCATGAGGCAGTTCGATTGAATATACGACTCACGAAAAGACGAATAACAAGCTCCCACCAATCATGAGGTGTTTAAAGTATCCCCTGTCGAAAAGCTGTCCGCTGAAAAAACCGCCTCCAAACAGCAGGAATCCTTGAAGAGACCCGATCCAGGCAATATCCGATGGAGGATGGTCGCTCAAAGACTCGAGAGTGTAAAAATTCTCATAGACACCAAAGGATTGCATGGTTCCCGCGGCACAAAACAGCGTCAAAAATCTTGCGGACAAAAACATGTGAAGATAAGCATTTGAAAAGAACGAATGAGGACATACCCGCCCGTTACCGTCAACCAACCTTGCAAGCCGCCTTCTGGGAATGTCAGCGCAGGAACGGCTGGGACTGTAGAGGCCTCCACATCTTTTTCGTTATTTTGGTTGGAGGACTCTGGATGATTCAGTGGGCCACCTTCTTGAACGGATTGGCTGTCCGTGCTGTCCGTTGTCTTTTCAAACAGTGACATGTCCATTAAAACTTCTGCCACAGAAGATGGCGGTAGAGGAGCAAGCACTGATGAGCCAGGAGAACGAATCCGGTTTTATGTATCTTTTCGGGATAAGAAGTCGAAAAAGATGTGACATGAGTGAAGGATCAGATATATACATATGTTATCTGATCATGGGAATTGAACGGGTCGTACATATTGATACTTATGTAGAAGTGAACTGGGGAGGGTAATCTATGGAAACCCAGAAGAGAATGAGAAAAGGTTTCGTACTGTTGCATTGTACACGAAGGCTAAAACAGAGAAATTTCTTATCCTGTTTGAACCTGTTCTACAGATTGCCACGTTCAAGTGTATGTATACCCAGACGAGATATGTTGGACCAAGGATCATTTGATCATGATAGTAAGAAGAGGGTTCGACGGAACTACCGCGAGCCGCCGAGTCATTTCAGCCGCTCATAGGATCGGTTAATAATAGAAAAACTGGCCTAGTAGCCCCCACGTACTCAAATATTTGAAAGAGGTGTTAGTTGAACACTGTTGGTTTGCAACAGTAGATAAATCTATGATTGTGCTGTCAGTGACAACTAACTGGGCGTATCAGCGCAAGTCCATCAGATCTATCCACACTCGCTCATCTAAGCCCGGGATGCCGAAAAGATTTGTTCAACCTCGCCCACAAAAATAGTTCCCACTTTGTGTGCTTTCGCGTGTCCAGTATCTTCTAGTCCATGGGCCATCATACTATCCATGGGTATCCGGGAATATCCTTGAGCGAAGTAACATTTATCAACCACAGCACCGGCAGATTGTCATCAGCTCCACACCACCTCACACAGTTCTAGATATTGATGCATGTTGATGAACGAGAAACAATCAGCAGTGATGATGCGAGAAATGGCTGTTCTGAGGACACATTCATTGAACATCCATTGATCTTCGTTGCAGATATACAGCCATCTTGAACCCCGCATCAGTCTTGCATTACATGGGTAATTTCAGAATGCACTGTTCGGAAGGACAGAAAGCCTATAACCATAATCCAAAGTTTAGAGGACAGGAAAGAGCCGCTTTGTCTTGATGTTTCTTCACGAAAGACAAAACTTAGAAGATGCGGCTTTCTGTGCGTGATGGCTTTCTTATCCTTTTGATTCCTGCTTCAGAATTTCAATGTCTTCTTCGTGAAGGGAATTGTGTATGGATATGAATGGTCTTGTCAGTGATCATTGGTGAGCACAGGCCCCCCAATCTCCACCAGAGGTATCCCCGGCTGAACACCATAAAGTACGCTATGAAGTTGACTTGGAATACACTATTTCAAACAATGATAGTCACATGAAATGAAAAAAAAATCACAAAAATACCTAGAAAATCATTTTTACATTCCCTACATTCTGCGCACTACATACTAATTAATTGAGGTTATCTAGCTGGGGTTTGAATTTTGAGAGCCCACATGGTTTCTCCATGATTCATGTTCTATGTTTCTCAATATATCCCTCAGTTATTCACACATCTTTGAGTGTCTCTTAGAGTGAATATTTATTGTAGTACCTGATGTAACCGCTGCTAACATATATGTAAATCAAATACTTACCGTAGTCTCACATCATTTTAGTTACTAGTAGTATGTATCAATGTGTCAGAGGCTTCTACATGCCGGTCAAACTATGCTATACTTGGTGGTCCCTTGATCTACAGTTTCGTTTAACATTCTCACAGAGCTGAAAGGCCCCAGATGTAGCTGGAGGGGCTAGAGTTGTACACTGGTATGACCATCAACACAATGAATATTATTGTAGTCATCACCATTGGACTATTTCAAGAAGGGATAAAATGCTATATGCTGTCGCAAGGAGTTAGTAAGTTGTGGTGCTCTCGGATGAAGCATTTGATATGCTGTCTTAGTTGTTCCGATTGCTGCGCTTCCAAAAATCTGGTACTAAGAATGGATAAATCGAGAGTCAAAAAAAGAAGGGCCAAAAACTATCACGCAGTTCGCGCCGTGGTTCGAACACGGGGCTTCGAGATTTACTGAGTATAACACTTTGCAATCTCACACTCTACCACTGAGTTACGCGAACATGGTTAATTAGTTAAAAAGCATGGTAATAATCACTAACAACGTATTGAATGCCTTACCTAGGGCTGTCTAATGTCTATCACTCTTCCCTTCGGGTTTTCTTGGTTTGAACACCGCACGCTCTTTCACCCTCTGCATAATTCCCTCCACATTCTTCATGGCTTCCTTCTGAGACAGAACAGAAGATCGTTTACGCCCTGTATAAGCCAGAGTAAGGTCCTTCTCTCAACTATCACAAACGAACACCGTACCTATTATCGCCCAATTCCTGGTGCTCGGTATCCTCAATGTTTCACATTCCATCTCCCACCCAGTATGCACACTTAGCGTTGCCAGCCATATTCTGTACATCGAATACCCGCTCGAGTTACTCCCATCACCTCCGAGGTTGAGAGTTTCGATGAAATCATCTAATGAACTTTTTTTGGAACCTAATTCGGTGCAAGTATCCGATGTATTCGAGATTGGGGTTCGATTTAGAATCGGAAACATCGTCGTCGCAGAGCGTTCATAGCGAGTGTCAAAATCCCAAGCGCAACAGGGTATAGACAAGTATCCTGAAGCGGAGCAGAGCGTTGAGAGTACAGGGGCCCAGGGAGTGAGCTCGTCTGCATGGTTGGCGACGACGAAGACCCCTGGTTGAAAGAACGGTGGAGGATTGCTGTCCGAACAGAAATCTAGCGCATTGAAAACATTGATATGTAGATGTTCTTGCGTTTCTTGAGGATAGAATTTCCAGGACGTTCTTTCCCGAACGTCGATTCCGTGACCTTCGTAGCCTTCCGAAATTAGAATGTGGGTCAATAGTCCATTTCCACATCTATGTACCGAATTAGACAAGCAAGAATACAGACATAATTGGAACACACACCCAATGTCGATGAATCCTGCAGGAGGACGTGGCCATTTCTTCCATGGCTCTCCCATCGTCAAATCCATTTCTTCTATCTCTTCATTTCCAAAAGTGATCTTCCACAGGAGCATGAGATATGTAGCAATTCCTATATCCTAGCGTGAAAGCAGCGTCCAGATAAATTGAGTTTGACGAAAGTCATTACACGCACCTCAAAAACGTGCTTGAGAGGGTCCGTGACTTCCTGCCAGGTTTCCACCAGACCTTTATGTCTCTCTCGCATGACAAGATATAAATCTTGGTATTGTTCTCGAGGAATCAGCACATCATGAATCACGCGCTTTCGGTAATTCGTCGTAGCACCCCATCCATAGCGATGAAGAGTATCCAGAAGAGCAAGGCATGTACGAAATAGTCTTGAGTCTTGGTCTAGAGGTGTGCCGGGTAGTGGAACGACCTCAATACGAAGGACGCCCGAGTCTGATTCGGTATCATGAAGTGGCGATGGATGTAAGAATCGGAATGCCAGATGAGTTACTCGCGGGTGGTAATACGGCAGATGATCCTTTTCGTAGATTATTGGAGTCAAGATCAGCACAGTATGCGGTGAGCTCGAGGTTGCTTTGTACAACGTGCAATACTGCTCCAAGCTTGCATCACGACCTGGTCTACGGGGTAACAACTTTCTATGGATACACCGACTTTGTTGGAAGTTATCCAGCTCCGGTATCGTTGATGAAAATCTAGAAGCGAAATTGCTATCAGAGATGGTTTCTGAGCGTAAAATCAAGGTAGAGTTGTATTCTGGATGATGGATGTGTTGCGATATGGCAACATCAAACTATCGTCCAACGTTTTAGTTCAAGTCAAAATTCTCTTGCGTTTTCTACCAGCATACCAGTTCTTCCGAGAAATTGGCAGGACATTCAATGAGAGGAATCCAAGTTTCAGGTCCAGACAGCGATGAATGCATGCCAGGCATACAAGCAGAAGGCAGAAATTTTGGGCGCGAAATCATGATTGTCGTCCGATACACCTGAAAAGAATTCTTAGTGCGTCGAGCGCGCTCACGTGAACTTTTTCAGAAAAAGTATGCTTTACATTGCAGTACATTTGGGTGCCTCCAAATGTGCATCTTCAAAAGACGGTTAATACTAACGAGCTACGACTTTATCTTTGCGCAGATCGTGTATTCACTGGTAGCAATACCAGACCAATGCGCAACCCATTGCGGCCGGCGTATGAACAAGTACAGTAAGTACATATGCAAGTTTAAGTAGGTACAAGAGGCATTAATCGAGCATAGTATAGTAGATGATAATACAGGGATTAAACGTGACTATTATAATAGTATGTAGATGAGGGCATGGTGTGACTCTGTAACATGTTCGTGGTGATATTACATGGGATCATAAAGCGCTTATAGAATATAGCGGATACACCAAGGAAAAAACAACCGAAATCAATTCAGCAAAAACACAAACCTCGCTCCAATAACAACAATACCTAGTCGCAGATCTGAGCAGGAGAACACATTTGGTAGCCATCCTCAATAGCACAGTAACTTAACTGCGGAGACAAATTGGAGCTCGTCAAGGTAGGTTCTGAAGCGTAAGCAATTTTTGACTTCAAGCTGCTGCATCCAGGGAAATCAATCAAGTTCTCGTAGATATAAGTATCGCACATTTGATGGTCGTGCTGCCTCTGGCACAAGTTATCAGAATATGCTGGAACCGGAGACGTTGTCATATACTCGGGCTGAGCGTAGACATACAGATTTTGGGGTTCAGGTTCCTGAGTCTCGGGGATCATAGGGGTGTAGTTCATAGGTGTGACATATCCGCTATAACAAGATTGATCGTGTGAGGTAGGTTGCTCCCAGAAATATGCATATCGCTTGTCATCGGGGCTTGAGAGGACTGCGAGTTGTTGTTGGTGGTATGCCTGGTGCTCCATCCACTCTGTTGGCGAGAATGTCGTAAGATAATTGTACTGGGGGGTAGATGCTGTAATACTGTAAGTAGAGGTGCAGGTCGACGAAGGCATGTTGTTCACGGAGGCTGAAGAAGGAGACCTGAAATCAGACTTGTACATGGTATTTTTCGAGGCGTCATAGATACCGCATGTACTCTGGATTGGTGATCCAGTCATACCATTGGAGGAGCACCGAGACACCGAGGGAGACGAAGGAAGGATATAAAACCCCCGAGAGTCGAAATATGACTCCTCTTCTACTGGGAAGTGGGCTCTACCGTCTCCGACAAGTTCCGCTTTCGAAAGAACGACAGGCGCATCAAGACCAAGAGCATCTGAAGCACGAGACACACTTCCTGTCGAAGGAGGTTTGGTTGAAGCTTCTTCCATCGGTGATGTCCATAGTTCGGTAGGCTCGACTGATGAAGTCGATGGCGCGGATAGTCGAAGGTCGACAAATGTATATTGGACGGTATGCAGAACTTCATCTTCGGGAAGTTCCTTCAGAGACAAGAAGTCTGGATCATCTTCGCAGGTGGATCGACGTCTGATGAAACATTGATGAACTTCACAAGAAGCCATGTCTGAAGTAGCGCAGTCAGTTAATTTCAGTAGTCTACAAAAAGTTCAGTACTCGCCGATGGAGGAGAAACATTCGATCCAGTATTCGGGAAGGAAAGTCGTTTCGTAAAGATACATTTGGCGATTGGTCCCATTCCAATTCTGCGCTATTTCGGACTGAAGAAGTATTGGAGTTCGCTCCAAATGCACGACCCTGCCATCAATGAACACTTTGAACAGGCAGTGGTGTTCAGCCACATCAAGGAACCGCGCCCAGTGCACAGATAGGGTAGGCTCCTTCCACGAAAACAGAGTGGTGACTGACGAAACGAGTTTCAGGTCAACGCAGACGAGCGTTGGCCTAAACTCTCGCTCTGAAGCCGTTGTGTCGAATGAAATTTTAGAGCGAGAGTAAGGAGGGCTGGTAAGCTCGATACGAACGAGGGTGTGCAGCAATTTTACCTCCGGCGCAGACACACCGTTTGAGCAATTCTCCGAACTAGCACCACCGACAGGAGAAGATGTGAAGACAGAGCTGGAGCTGGGACTAGCGCTACAAGGGCTTGCTGACTCTGAGAGCGGAGTTGCCCCGCGTAAGTCCAAATATCCATCATCATCATCATACTGTCTGCGGCTGAGTAGCTTCAAAACTGAGAGTCATTAGGTATCCAGTGGAATTAGCTAAAGAAGAGCTTGGACTTACTGCGTGCGTCACGACACGAGTCCCGAAGCTGTTGGAGCCGGCTACCGACTTGCTTAGCAGACCTGTCGTGCCCTGTACGTCGCTTAATGTATTTCGAAATCCAGCAATTACGCTTGGGAAATCGCTGAAGCAATTGAATATCCGTAACAGATTCAGGCCGATACTTCTGGAGAGCTGGCACAGCATTAACTGTGGACATGTGTCTAATCCTCAAAACCTACCTTCGATAAGAGCCGCTTCGATTGACGGAGGCCAAACCCTCTCTCTCTTCGAACTCATCAGCTTCCACGTCTTCCTTGCAGCCAAGACGATATCTGTTGCCTCTTTAGCACTCGATGTAGCGTATGGACTGTGTCGTGAAGGTGTCTGTGTGGGTCGAGCCATGAAAAAATATGTAGAGAAAAAAAAAGTGGATTGTTTCGCTCGCTGGATTGGCTTGATTTTATCTGCTTCAAGCTATCGATTTCGGTTCCCTGCACTGTCCCTGCATGCATGTATATTTTGAACGGCTCCGTCAAAACCATGACACCTAGGACTACTTAAGATCTCATTTGTCAACAAGGAGAGTTGAGTACATACCATTTTGGGAACGGCAATCTCGTTACCTTTGAAACTAAGAGAGGCTTCGCTCAACGTAGGTGTCAGGCAACCGACCTTGTTCTCTATAAAGGATCTGTTCGGCGTATCAGGACATTGAAGAAACAGACAAGAGCTTACGACATGTTGAGAGCGCACTTGACCATTTTGAGGTATATTCATGAAGAATCTCCACTACTAAGTGGCACTACGCTACTTGATTTTTACGCTATTATAAAAGTTCAATATGACAGATTCCACTATTTTGGCCCATGATTACCTTTGGTGCTTATTTGCTGTTGTTATTTTCTCGTGCCGATGGCTAATCGCCACG